TGCATGGTCATCAAATGTACGTCTTCATATGGCGCCGTATAACTGGTTTCGCAAGAAAGGAACATATGGTGTTCTAGAAGTGGTCGACCCCCTGGCCCTACTCCCCAAATATATCGTTTAACACCCCTTGACGACAGCGCGGCAACTAGGTTTGCCGCGTTTTGCACGCCGCAATGGACATTGTGGCAACTATAGTTGCCACACCCTTTACATTCAGTTTTTTCTTGAACGCGCCATTTCTTCCCAGGTTTTTTGTGTTCATTTTTTAGGCCATACCACAACATAACCAAGAACCACGCGGCTTATAGAATGACCAAATATTCTTTAGTTTGGCAGAGGTTTTTCGGACCGGACGAAAATATCCGTTCAGTTCATTCCTCATTTTCTCTTCATTAACACGAACATGTAGATAAAAAAGAATATTAGAAGTGAGTACAAAGCTACTCGTGTGGCAAGATATGTGTTTTTACCGAAACAACCACGTCCAAAATAATTTTTGAAATCACTAAAGCAAAAGTAAGTGAAACTTGCCTTTTCAATGCTGTAACACATCATTCGACCGCACTTTCACATGTGTACCTTCCAATAAGTTTGACACACCGAATATCAGAAAAACATTTTGTCGCATCGCAAGCAAAATCCACAGATGTTATGCTGTGAGGCGGACGGCATGCTAGCGGAGCCGCTCTGCCCGTCCACGCGCGCCAAAAATGCCAAATCGTTGCAGATGTGTCAACGTGTTTAACTGCGTTGCTGATACCCGCATTATATTGCGCTACGGCGCAAGCCATTATCTTAGGCAGAATTGATGACGCAGTAAATCATATTGAATTCAGTTTCCAAGATTAGAAAAGACCTAAAAATGAAATGTTTTTTTTTCCGCCGCTTCCCCAGAAAACCGTTAGTTTCCAAACCCCCAAACGCAGATTCCGAAGTATACAATCGACAGAGAGTAGCGCCGTGTACGTTTCGAATGCGGCTTCGCGAAAAAGACCATATGAATGAAAACCTGCCATAAAGGGAAAACGAAGAAAAAGTTGTTGTAAGAACTAAATATGGTTCAAAAATTTTCAAAGTGCGACCCGTTTTGGCGGAGCTAACAGGAGCGTAGTAACCAGCCCGGGCACGGACGTCGTTCAGGAGTCCAGAAGATGATAAGAAAATAACTGAGATGAATTCGTCGATTGGCTCACCTTTGCAGCCGTCACAGCTGACCGCACCATAGTGCTTACCGGTGGCTTTGTCGCCACAGATTGCACACAGACTTTCAGATGAGAGACCATTCAAACCGGAAGAGCCCACCTGGCGGCCGCTGAGGTCAGCACTTTAGGTTCATGAAACCATTCGCAGGCTGGAATACAGTTAGAATCTTCTCGAATGATGGATTGACTTGATTTAAAACGAAAAGCATTATTCGAAATGTGTGGTGCGTGGCGTAGTTGGCGATACCTCAGGTCAGAGTCACCACAAGAGGGCAGTGGATTGCCAGTTGGGCGACCTTCGCTCGGTCCAGTTAGGCGCTGAATTCTTTCTCCTCTCATTGTCGATAACGTTATCAACGCATTGATTGCCTCCAGTGCTTGTGATGCTGGCGGTTTTCACGTTTTCGGTGGTCGCTCTCATCATCTGCATGATCAGCAGGTCATGATGGGGGTTCAGGATGGTCACTTATGATGCTAAACTGAAATCTGTAGTTAAGAGCATCTCTAGGAAGTGCAATTTGAAACCGCCTCACCTGTTTTCCTTCTATGGACTTTTGCCCTTGTCAAGTGGCCTTCGCCATAGCAGCCATGTCAGCAGTTTTTAGAAATGAAGTGCCTTAGCAGGTACCTTTAATAGATATAAATAATCTTGAATCTTTCAAGGTTCCTTTTGTTCGTTTTTTCTGTACGGGAACGAGATGTACGCATGGGATGTGACAAGAGGCGTAGGTGGCGCAGTGGCAATGACACGCAGTGACGCCAATTAATACGCTAACGGCCATGTGATCATTTCACGGAGGGCACAAACCAGCAATTCTTCAGCCATTCCGGATTAGATAACTTTGACAGACTACTCTGTGAGGATAAAAAACACCGAACTGTATATCGACTGGCCCCTCAAAATCATTGTATGGGCTCATATGGGCTAAATCGCATTCAGATGTGTCTGCGATTTCGAATGAATGCAGAATTGGTGGCGCATCCCAAAAAGCGCATTGATCAATTCGGAATGTTTTATTTTCTCCTGCCTGAATATTGATCCCTGGAAAAAATGAGGAATACTGCCAACACACTTCTGGTTTTCAAGACGCAGGTTTACCAGTCATCTGACGAACCTTATCGAGAAAGCTGAGAGAAAATTTGTGCAATTATAAATCAAAGTGGGAAACCACTGGAAATTTGTCAGACAGGTCTTCGCTAGAAATCGAGCACTGCCTAATCTGAGCAAACGAATAATTCTCAAAAGTTGATAATCAGTCTTTTATTTGGAATATAGCATTTACTTTGCAGGAATGTAACATGACATTGAAATGACGAAAAAAAACTCCACAAACAGCTTGCCAGCCTTTCCACCAGCTGTGTGCCAAATACCTGTTCCTCTCTTACGGAATGTGCGATCGATTGAAAGGGTACCTCGAACGTTGATCAGAAGCAATTATCAAGCAAAGCAACGCAGTTGAAGTAAATGTCGCCTTGCCCCCGTCAAATTTTTTTTGATGAGCCGTTCGAAGTTCACTGAAAATTGTCGTCACATATGAATCGTGCTAGCGTCCCAGCACTATGAGTCGCCGTGGAGTGGTTGTAGAACTCTCGCTATTCAGTCGGTGGGTCACGGGTGCTCCTCCTGTTGGAGTGCAAATTTTGAGAACACTCCTCTACTCCACGGAAATCTGAGAGCCCGCCTAGCATATGTTTACGTTTACGCGGCCGACTTGATGATTCCGACTTTTTGGCGGATCCTTTGAGTTTATGGTTTACAATCTGTATGAAGGTGAGGCTCTATTCATATATAGTGTTCAGAAGTCCATGGGGGGAAGTTGAATGTTCTCCCGGGATTGGCAAGTGTTTTCTGGGAAGTTTGTCGTGCGGATGTGATATGAGTCGGGTCTGTTGCGGAAGGAGGTCAACCCTACGTTGGTACAAGTACCAACGGGGGGTCGTACTTGGTTTAGGTTGGAGGGGGGGGGCGTACTATCTCGCTGGTCGGCGGATCGGCATCTCGAAATAGCTTCTAAATTCAATAAGATATATGTCCCTCACAAGGATGTTTTCAGAGAAATGATTAGAGGAAGGAAACGTAGCTGGCAAGATATTTAGCAAGCGTGGAAAAAAGGCCATGACATTGTGTCATCACCACGAAATCATGGATATGAAACCTAATTTTTTAGCTGGGTACTGCTGGAGAAACATGTCACACTTGTTTAACAAGAATTGTAGTAGGCATCTGTAATCGGTCCTTCTAAGATGAGCTTTCATGAAGCGGATTCATTGAGCGTCGCGGCGGAGAATGTCGCACCGAGCGGTTATGCACTGCAAGCACGTGATGAAGCATTTACACTATGGTCAAACGATATTGTTTTCCCTGGAGGTTGCGGCCTGTGAAACCTAGAAAAACCCACGTTCTTAAGAAAATGACTTGAAGAATGCCCCTTCAAAAGAAAGTCCCAACGGGACTAATTTTCGAAGTCCTAATTTCCAGGAATGTTGGGGTGCTTGTTAGAAAGCTTGAACCCTCTAGTTTCTCATACCGTGTTCAGCTTCCCAAATAAATCAGTTTGAACAAAGTTATGATCGCTAAAAGGATGAAAAGTCGCGGTTTCAGAAAAATAGTTCCGCGAACCCAAGAAGTCCCAACGGGACTAATTTTCGAAGTACTGACCTTTCAGCAATGTTAGGGTACTTGTTAGAAAGCTCGAATCCTCTAGTTTTTCATAGCGCGTTCAGCTTCCCAAATGACTAACTTTGAGAGAAGTTATGATCGTGTGAAGGTTGAAAAGTCGCGTTTGACCAGGAAAAAGTTCCAACGTGCTAAATTTTTATTAAATAGCTTTAAAAAAGAAAATTTAGATATGAATGGAGAGAAAATAATTTGAATTTTTCAAATCAAATCACTTCGCCGCAAAACCTTGAATACGAAGAAAGTTATAGGGCTAGAAAGTGGAAGGTAAAAATTGTAGTGCAATTCCATTTCTTGATCAATTACTTATTCATTCCAGAATGTTTTAGAATAAATCCGCTCTACATAAGAAGGATTAGCCTCGGTGATCCAAAATCCACCCCCGTCTTCCGAGGAACCTGAAAATTTAAGAAGAAAAAATTTGTTTACATTTCAATATCCCATTCGTCACCAATAATCGATCAGCAAACGCGCCATTGCACGACCGTTTCCGAGGCGATCACAAATTTCAACGGATCAATGCGCTTTCCATTTCTTTCTATTTACTTTAACCTGCATCACTAGCCCCCCCCTCCTATCGGTATGCGTGCGCCAAGTTCTCCCGGCCGTTGCATCTGTGTTTACTCGAACAGATTGATGTACCGAGAGAGGACGGACTTGAGAGATCCGTCCTCTCTTCAAGGCTTAGTTCTGAAGGTAAGCAACCAGCATTTGGCGGAGACTTGGACGTAGTTGTAGTTGTAGTCGCACCTACGCTGTAGGTGCTCTGTGTTGAAGAAGAGTAGAAAAATAAAAATGTGTGCATGAATTGTAGTATTACACAGTATTTATTAAGTATTACACACAAGGGGGGGGGTCGTATCAATTCGCCCATGAAGGGGGGGGTCGTAAAAAATTTCCAAATAGTACCAACGATAGGGTTGACCCTGCTGCATGGTGTCCATCACAGTTATACAATACCCCTCCCCTTCAAAAAGCGAGAAAGTGTCGGGTGCAGACCATGCACCACAAGTGACGACGGCCTTCACAAAATGTTAATGTTTTCTGCCAATGAAATGATTAGCCTGTTGCAGTTGTATTCTATCGATTGTCACTAATTACAACTATCATTTACCAGAAATCAGCTATCACTATGAACAACTTCTAACCAGATTTACTTGGAGGCCGTCGTCAGTTGTGGTGTTTGGTCTGCACCCGACACTTTCTCGCTTTTTGAAGGGGAGGTTAGGTTGGGACTGGGTTTTTCATGACACCATATTATTCATTGTTAGTGAATCTATCCAATACTGGAATTCACTTTGTTTGTTGAGTACATTAGTTAATAAACTGCTACATATCCAACCGTACCAGACTCGCTTATGGTGTGGGCGAAGCCTCACCATTAGCGAAGTCACTCACTGCGCCCTTCTCATTGGAGAAATCTATCGGAGAAAGATCTCTATTTTTCAGGATTTCGCTCAAACGCTCAACGGGTCACTAACTTCTAACGCTCCTAATCCTACGAACAGAAATTCTGAAACATAGTATCTATGGGCAGAGGTTGTACAATGGCAAGTAGCGCACGTTACTGTCGCCTCACAGTCCTACAGCGATGATCATCTCGCTCGTTCCAGCATGGCCAGAAAGGCAGCCCTGCAAGGTCCGGTTTTAGCGGAATCCTGGTTTTTTTTTCAAACATGTCATTATGACGTTCCCCATGAAAGATGAAATCGTTCGATGGCAAGACTACGAAAGCCCTAAGCACCTGATCCCTTTTCACAGCTGGTATTTCTGCAATATTTTTACCGATATTGTTTTGGTACAGTTGCTGTCAATACCTTTCTTAACACCTTGGAGCCCATGCAGCCCATATGTGGGCTGCAGTCCGTCAACCGCTTAGGACCTTTCAGCTCACATTTCGGAAACAAATATTAGTTTTCTTTCATTTTCTTTTCCATTTCATTCGATAAGGTTTCTTCTGCATCATACAGTAGGTTTTTCTTCCAATTTGCTTGATAAGATTCCTAAAAATTTCACTGAAGTCCACGCGGCCGCAAAACGTAAAACATGCGCGGTTTCCAACGTGTTAATGATGTTACGAGTCTGCGGGGGCTCCTTCTACGAAGGGTCTACCTGACCTTTTCATTAGATTCACTGCCACTATTCTCATTTTATTGCTGAACCAGTGTGTACCGCAATACAGTATAAATTCAATTGTTTTGATTTTGGTTGAGTTTCCAATCCCTACATGTCGTTTATACGGTACCAGATTGGAGTTGAACCACTCTCACCAGAACCAGAGATCGACGAACAACTTCTAACAATAAGGCAGGTACATCATTGCCTGCATGATGAGTGCTTGCAGAACGATGGGGAAATTCATATTGAAAGGATAGAGAGCAGCAATGTACAAGACATTACAACAGGACCTCTGATTCCACAGTATCCCAAAGTTTTAATTTGCAGTTGTTTACTCATTCGGAACGGTTTTAAAATAGCGGTTAAAATCCGATAAAGGCCCAAGAACACTTGAAAGGGGTCTGCAGCAGGTGCGGCACGCCCTCAGCTGTATTGCGCTTACTACAAGAAGCCGCAACCAGTCCCAGGACTTGCCGGAAACTAGAAAACTATTCAGACGGATTGATAGCTAAATGCTCATAGTGGGCAAAAACCTACACAATGGTCAACGAGGCTCGGATTACAGTTTCCTGTTATGCTATTTCACAGCGCTGAAGAAATTCTGGTTCTAAGCAGCTCATACAGTTTATATTTTTTCCATTTCTTCTATCTATTCAGGAATCCAGCTGCCCTTCCTCGTTCACGCCGCCACCGAACAGTCGAGTACAAGAAAAAGTGCTAAGATAACGATTCGAAGTCGTTCTTGGTCTGTGATAAAGGCATTGTTGATAAGAAGTGTTCCGATTGAATCGAAGCTGAACAGAACTTCAGTGAAGGTCACGTTTGCTCATGTGAGAAGAACTGTGCTAACAATAAGATCTCCGAGAAATCCCCCAATCTGCTCCAATTTGAACATTTTTATTAATGTTTCATTGGCAGCCGGCGCACTATTAGGTCTCATATGTAAAGTAAGATGAAGAACGGTCGAGAGATTCTGGACAAGGGTCGTATTCAGGTTGATGAAGCGAGGGGTCGTGTTTGAGATTTTTTGGAGGGGAGGTCGCTGGGTTGTTCGTAAACGCGAGCAGTGGAGAATATCTAAGTAAGGAAGCAGCCGCTTAAAGTGTAGCCTTGGTAGTAATCACATGCATGCACCTAGCGATCGACAGCAATTATGGTGAAATTTAGTTTGATTTTGGAGCGTTGTCAAGTGTACCAGGATGGACGCAAGACGCAGCGGCTCGTCAGGCGGCCAGCCGTTAAGTTAAAGGAGGATTTTCACGATACCGGTCGAAGTTCGAAAGAGGGGAAACTTATCCCTGAGTTAAGTAGAGTAGAGGAGCTCCTCACAGGTGCTGCAGAGTGCCTAGCAAATTGGACGTAAGCAAACCAGCCCTTTTGGCACATCGGCTGGGACCGTATGCTGAATGTTGGGGAGGGGATGGGGTCCCCAACGGTCGACGGTTTACTTCAACTCGGTTGGTACGATAGGAGAGTACTGACGCAAGTGGTGCAGCTGGTCCAGTAGCTTCGCCAGAAGGACCGGTCTGCTCACCCTTGGACTAAGCCTAGGAGAGGGGACGGACCCGTCCTCTCTTTAAGGCTTAGTTCTAAGGTAAGCGCCAAATTGTGGCGGTTCTAAGGACCGCGTTGAAGTTGTCCGTCCACCGTCGGGGACACCATCCCCTCCCCAACATTCAGCATACGGTCCCAGCCGATGTGCCAAAAGGGCTGGTTTGCTTACGTCCCACCATTGGCACCAAAGGGAGCTCCCGCACGCTATCGGTGCGGTGCGTATCCCTCTAGGTGTTCGACCCTCCGCCACTTAGCAGAGAAAGCGTTATTCGTCAAAGAGGGCAGCATCGATGAAGTCACATTAGTGTAGAAAAATCACCGGGTAATGAGGATCCCAGTTCTCGGGTTCTGGGCAGTTTCTCATGGTTTTTCTTCGTCCCTGCACCATTGACCACTGCGACACTTATTTCTAATGAGCTGCCCTTTCACGTGAAATCCGCCTTCAAGGGGGATGGGATGTACAGGGTGTCCCAAAATTACTTGCCAAAAAAATCGCAAGGTTACTATCGTGCTAAACTGGCCATACGCGACTCTCGATCGTTTTTTCTGACGAGAAAATATTCGCTGTAGAGCCGGTGTTGAATCGCCAAAGCGATCACATTCTAGTTAGAAATATCGGGAGTGTCATCTCACGAGGAAAGATTGTTGAAGAACGGCTAACTCGGCATCAGTAATGAATTGGGTGTGAGTCGCGGCCAATGGTGAGATGCCGTTGAATTTTGCCGATTCATGTGTGAAGATCAGCAAGGACGTGCGTGTTAGTGAACATATTGAAACCTTGATCCAACCCCCACTTTGGGAACAAGCCGTGGTGTTGCTAGCAGGACAGTGCTACAGCCTATGGGGCCAAGCTCGTTCGAGGCAGGTGCGAGCTGCGAACTGCCCGACTTCGTCGCCGCGAGGAATGGCCTTCTTGCTCCCCTAATCTTAATCACTGAACTCTCAGTCTGGTCCGTGATTAAGAGCAAGGCATGTCGAGCTCGTCGTATGAATCTGCAACCATTGCAAGCAGCATCAAAGGAAGCCTGGGAAGAATTGGATAAGGAACACCTGCGTGCAACGTGCGAATGGTGCAAGAAGAGACTCCGGGCCTGAATTCGTGCAGGTGGAGGACATTTTGAAATCTGGTTGTTGCATGTTGTAGTGTATGATGTTAGTATAATTATGTTTATATTCAATTACCATTCTGTGTCCAACAGTTCAAAAGACATTGCAATAAATAGGCGCAAGTAATTTTGGGACACCCTGTACATATATCTGTGTGCTCCAGCAATGTTCATCCTAACATTTCTGCCACAGTGCCAGAGCAAAAGAATGTAAGCTTTCGAGACCTCAAAACGTTGCCCAAAAATGAAAACAGAAGTGGACGGGATTGCTAGTGAAGAAAAAAACCAAAGGAAACAGCCGAAGCTCTCAAATTAGAGCTTCCATTTTTTGTGAATTCAGCAGTGCTACAAAGACAAACGACAAAGAGACCCTGGCCACGGAGAGTGAGCAGCTGAAATAGCGTAGCAGCGAACGAGAAGCAGACATCACATTGCATGGCTTTCGCTTTGCGAATGTCATCTGCAGCCAGTAAACAAAAGTGACGAGACCCTACCTCTTTCGCACATTTTTAACCCAGAACAACGATGACAATCTTTGTAAAGCAAGCCTCGAGCTAGAGATAATCCATAGCGAAATCTCGATTCATATATAAAAGGATAAAGGATAAAGCATTTGCCGTTGATCAATCCCTTTTTGGGATGCGGCACGCATTCTACTTCCATTTGTACATTCGTAGTGGCGTTTGAATGCGATGTGGCCTCCAGCCGATGTACAAGTCAGTGTTTTTATCCTCCCAGACAAGTCTGGTACCAATTAACCGACCCCGGAGGGATGGAAGGCTTGGTTGGCGACGCACGACCCAGGATTTGATCCCCGGCTGCGTGCGTGCTGATAAGCAGCGTCATTTACAACTGAGCCACTTCCTCCCTCAAATCATACTTGACGCCACATAAAAACCTGGAGTCTTCCAGGAAAAATTGCCACGGCTTGCTGATCAACCAGAGAGGCCAAATTCAGAAAGTAGCACGACACGATGTAGTACAACTCAATAGCAAAATGTTTAGAATAAGTTGTGACTAAAAGAAGTTATGAATAAGTAGAAGGGACGTCTCTCCAAGATCTCTTCCAATGGATCATTTAGTTTGAACAAGTCCAATTTCGGCGGAAGTGGTGTAGTGGCAAGTGGCACGCTTACCACGCGAGCGGTCCGGGGATCAAATCCTGGGTCGTGAGTCGCCCGGGCCAACCAAGCCTTCCATCCCTCCGGGGTCGGTTAATTGGTACCAGACTTGTCTGGGAGGATAAAAACACTGACTTGACATCGGCTGTGATTGTATGGGCAATGACTTGAGGGCCAGCTGATGTGCAAGTCATTATATGGGCCAAATTGCATTCAAGTGCCACAACGAATCTTACAAATGGAAGTAGAATGCGTGCCACATCCTCAACAAGGGATTGATCACGAATGCTTTATTCTTGCTTATAAGTGTAAATTCGGCACTAGGTCTCAAATCGACTTTGACCTCCGCAGTCTGCCAAGAGCCCCAACAATTCATAACAAGATTTCAACGAGACTGAAAAACGATATAACACTTGTAGGTAGAATCAGATAAATCATCGCTTCGACTCATATAGCTACCGACCTGTGAGAACGGTGGAAACTTTATTAGGGATATACCATATCCGCTGTAAAAAGATTTCTTTTGCTCGACAAGTTATAGAACTAAGAAGGGATGTGATTTTGAATTCAAACACGGTGTTCTCACACCACGAGGTTCTTTCGGAAATGATATGTTTCGAAGTACTTGAGTGTTATGCGACGAGGCTCCTGTAAAAATGAAATCCCCTTATTTTCGTTCCATTTTGATTTCGACATTCCTGAGGGACAGACGGCGCCCGGCCTGAAAGAGGTTATTAACCACCTAACCTCGACGCCTTCACTGAGAGCCTTTTGTAGTGGTTTGGTTTTCTCTGTGTAACTATCTTGCGCTAACATCCGTGAAAAAATGAACATATGGGCCCGGTGCAGCAAGCCCCAACTCGGGGATGGGTCCCCACTATGCGTCTTTACTCTGGTCGATGACCAACTCTCATAACCCAGCAAAGAATAGGAGAAGCGTCTAGGAAATGCAGACCTATCCCCGAATTGAGACTCCTTGTACCCGGCCCATGGTTTGACATGCAAGAAAGACACGGCCCCCAAAGTGAGCTGTCATACAACCTCTCCCCTAAAGACTGCGTGGAAGTACGCACCGGTGATATTTCTGACATTTCTCCAGTTGTAATTTCTACTCTTCCCCCATACCCAATGCTTCCAAATGTAAATCATCGGCTTGGATTAGCAGCGGAGTTTCTCTGCTCAGTTGGCGCCACGCTCGTACAATTCGTAGTTCTGGTCTCCAGGGTAATAAATGCGGCTCAAGGATTACGACTGCGCTCTGATCCACTGCTCCACGACTTCTTCAACGCAAACCGCAGAAAATCTAGACAACTACCTCCGAATTCAAAGTTATTTTTCTCCAGCTGTTGCAGTTCTTGAAATGCAGCTTGATCCCGATCTACTAGTACTGAGGCCAAATCGTAGCCTTCAGAGACCGCGTGTAAACTTTCGTGCAATAAAACTCAGTCTTCAAAACAAAATAAACCACCAAAACCAAACTTCATGTTGACGACAAGCTGACGCGCATGCGCGTCAGCATCTTGGTACCATTTTTGCGCACAATCCAACTTCTTCCGAAATTTTTTGTTATTAATGCATAGGCGATGCATTATGTTGCAAATGGTGTGGTCCATGGTAGGCTTAAATATGCTTCTTAAGCAGAGGTTTTATGAGCCTCCTAAATTTTCGGTTTATTTCTCTCTTGGACTTCTATTTCAGAGTGAACAAGCAAAGAAAAACGATCATAAATGTAAACAACAATATGATGCAATATTTTCAAGGACTCTATGGATGACATCACTTGTGTTTTTCATTGAAGCAACCTCTACTATACCTTCTGCTGAACGTTACCCCTATTTGTCTTTTGAGGCCTGTTTTTTTTGACATAAAGGCTAAAGGTCCGAAAAGAGTAACAGTAGAAGATGTGTAGCCATAAGATACTACACATCTTCTACTGTTACTCCTTTCGGAAATTAGGCTACTTCTTCCAGATCATATCGCGTGGGAAACTACTACTGACATGAAAAGTACTCACGCTCAACGTTCAGCAGTGATTCGACCACATCCAGTTGAAGTCGCTCGTCCGAAGAGATAGTTTGAACATGCACATTCTGACCTTCTACGCATGTCATTCAAATCGGCCCGACCTTCTGCCCCCCCCCCCATCCCCGAATTGGCTATACTCCCCAGACTCATGGATTCCTTATTCTGCATTGATGTCATCACTAGTATTTCGCTGAAAGGGTAGAGACAAGCAGCGCACGTCTTCGCCAGAAGCTCCTCCCCTCAACGTGTGTATCCTTGCTTTGCTACTTTCAGTTCTGAGTTCCGAAAAACGCACTTGTGGGACAACTGACGCGCTTGCGCGTCACGCAAATCGCGCCCGCCTGAATCGCTCTG